GCCATCCTCACAATCCCTGACCCACCTGGTTTACGATATTCCTCTCTTTCACTGTCCCTCTACATTTTTCAAATATGATGAACCTATCCAAAGAATAACTTCTTTTAGCAACATGCTTTAAAAATGTGAGACAAAGCTTTATCATCTTTCCTTCCAAGGAGTTCTCTGGCTTCACATTCTCTAATACATTTTTTTTTCTTTTGGCAGTCCATGGGATATCAAGCATTCTTCTCCAACATCACAGTTCAGGGCATCAATTCTTCTTCTGTAATCATCCTTAGTTATTGTTCAGTTCTCATATGCATAAAAAATTAATTGAAAGCACTATGTCCTGAATTATCCACATATTAGTCCTCAAACTAACATCATTGCTGTTCAATAATTTGAAGAAATCCTTGACTGTCTACTTTCCCAGTGCAAGATAGCGCCTACTCTCCTGACAGGTAGTATCAAATGTATTGTTTGTGGACTCAAGTAAGATGAGTTTCTTTCCCAGTTTTAATAATTTTTCTGTCTACCATAAGGATGCCTATTGGTCCAGTGGCAAGGATTTTTGTTTTCTTGAAGTTCAGATACAATTCATATAGAAAGCTTCAGAACTTGATTTTCTGCAGCAAGTGTTCCTCACTTTCAGCAAACAGGGTTGTGTCATCTTAATAAAGTAGGTTATTGTTGAATCTTCCTCACATCTTTAATGCCACAAACTTCTTCATAGAGTCTAGCTTTTCCAATAACTTGCTCAGCATACAGACTGTACAGATATGGAGGAAAAATATAACCTTAACACATACCTTCCTTAATTTTAAACCTTATATTGTTGTTGTTGTTGTTGTTGATTGCCTTCAAGTCGAGCACAACTCATATTGACCCTATGAACAAAAGCCTGAAGCCCCTCTACAACTCTTGAAATTTATCAAAGTTTATAGATTTTCCAGAGGCATGTTTTTTAGAAAGTGTTCCTTTGTTCTGCCTGCACAACAACAGCCCTTTGGCCTAGATATATGTTTTGCATGACCACAATTAAAGATTCTGGGATTCCAATTCATTTCAATGTTATCCATAATTTTTTATGATTCAAACAGTTAAATACTTTGTATATTCAGTAAAAACAAAAAAGGAATCCTTTTGGTACTCTTTGCTTTCAAGCAAGATCCATCTGACATCAGCAATGATATACCTGGTGCCACAGCCTCTTCTAAATTCTTCTTGAGCTTCTGGAAGTTCCTTATCTATATGTTGTTGTCCTTTTTTTTAATTATCTTCAGCAGTAGTTTGCAAAGCAAGGAACAAGAACCACATGCTTTTATCATTTGATGCAGTAATGGTCTTTGACAAAATTGAACAGCCTTTCCTGATTAAACACTCAACAAAATTGGAATAGAGGGTAATTTCCTGAACATAGTGAAAAGTTGTTTTTGTACAACAGCCCTAAACCCTGCTGTATCCTATGCCAATCTTGTTGTTTCTGACACACCTAACCCCCATTGCCCCAGTCACTGAATTAATCCATTTTATTGAGGGTCTTCCTCTATTGCATGGTCCCTGCACCCCCTCCCCCCCAAGAATAATGGCCCTCTCCAAGGGCTGGTCTTGTCTTGCAACATTACAAAGTATGTCAGATGAAGTTTCAGAATCTCTGCCTCCAAGGAGCAGCCTGGCTTCCCCCTCTTTAGGATGAACTTGCTTGTTCTCCTAGCTGTCCACAATATATTCAACATTCTTCTCCAACACCACAGCTCAAAAGCATCAATTCTCCTTCTATCATTCCTAAGTATTGCCCAACTTGCTGATGCATAGCAAGTAATTGCAAAGACAGGCACACCTTAGTCTCTCATTGCTCTTCAGTACTCTGGAAAGGTCTCTAACAGCAGACTTTCCCAATGTAATTTGTCATTCAAGCAAATTAAAGCTGTTAACAATCCCAATTTCTTCACCATCTATCATGATGTTACCAATTGGTCCAGTGGTGAAAATCTTTGTTTCCTTGATGTTGAACTTCAATCCATACTGAAGGCTGCAGTTCTTGACCTTCTTCAACAGTCCTTCTGGTCCTTCTCAGTTTCAGTATGGTTGTGTCATCTGCATAATGCAGATTACTGATGCGCCTACCTCCAATGCTGATGCCACCTTTCTCCTCATATATCCCAGCCTCCTGGATAATCAGTTCTGCATATAGATTGAAAAGGTGTGGAGACAAGACACATTCCTGGTTTATGCCTTTCCCAATTTTGAACCATGAATTGGGATTCCCATTCTTCTAAAAGTCAGCTCCAGTTTGTTGTGATCCACACAAGCAAATGCTTTTTCATAGTTAATGAAACACAGACATAGTGAAAAGTAGATATGACAAACCAAGAGCCAACATAGTTTTCAATGGAAAGAGAAAAAGCATTCCTTTTGAGAACAGGAACCAGGCAAGGATGCCTACTATCACTTTGTCTATTCAGTACAGTATTGAAAGTATTACCAAGAGCAACAAGGCAAGACAAGGAAATAAGAGGCGCACAAAATTCAAAGAGAAGGTAAAATTATTTATATATGCAGATAATATGATTGTATACTACAAGAACCTAAATATTCAGTAAGAAAACTATTGGACATCTTGGATCAATTCAGCAAAAGAGCAGAGTACAAATCAACATATAAAATGTCAGTTGGATTTGTCTACAGTGACAAAGAGAATGACTATGCAAAGGCATGTGGCTGTGTAAATCATAACAAACTATGGCTGACTCTGAGAAGAATGGGAATCCCAGAACACTTGATCGTTCTAATGCGAAACTTATACTTGGACCAGGAGGCAGTTGTCAGAACAGAGCAAGGGAACACTGCATGGTTCAAAATTGGGAAGGGCGTACACCAGGGATGCATCCTATCTCCATACCTTTTCAACCTATATGCAGAACAGATTATCCGGGAGGCTGGGCTCTATGAGGAGAAATGTGGGGTCAAGATTGGTGGACGATTTATCAACAACCTGCGTTATGTGGATGACACAACCCTGCTTGCTGAAACTGAGGAGGACCTGAAGCACCTGCTGCAGTGTGTCAAGGACTGCAGCCTACCATACGGATTGAGGCTCAATGTCAAGAAGACAAAGATTCTCACCACTGGACCAATTGGCAGCATCAGAATGGATGGTGAAGAGATTGAGGTTGTATACAGCTTTAGTTTGCTTGGCTCTGTAGTCAACAGTCTTGGCTCCAGCAGCCAGGAAATTAAAAGGCGCATTGCCATGGGGAAAGTCTGCTGTTAGGTACCTCTCCAAAGTACTGAAGAGCAATGGTGTCTCTCTGGAGACTAAGGTGCGTCTGATACAGGCCATGGTCTTCGCAATCACTTGTTATGCATCAGAGAGTTGGACAATGACCAAGGAGGATAGAAGGAGAATTGATGCCTTTGAGCTGTGGTGCTGGAGAAGAGCATTGAGAATAGCATGGACTGCTAGGAAAACAAACAGATTTGTCCTGGAGAGGGTTAAACCGGGTGGCTCCTTGGAGGCAAGTATTCTGAGGCTCCGTCTAACATACTTTGGACATGTTGTGAGGGGAGACCGGTCCTTGGAGAGGGACATCATGCTTGGGAGGGTGGAGGGACAGCGCAGGAGAGGAAGGCCCTCTATGAGGTGGATTGATTCAGTGACTGGGATAATTGGGATGGGAGTGTCAGAGACAGTGCGATTGGCACAGGACAGAGCGGAGTTTAGGGCTGTTGTACATAGGGTTGCTATGAGTTGCAAGCGACTCGACGGCACATAACAAAACAACAACATATATGAAATTAAATACTTGGAAATATATATAACTAAAGACATAAAAGACCTGTACACGGGAGATTATAGGACATGATTACAAGAAACAAAAAGGGATCTGTAGAAATGGAAGAATATAACCAAGCTCACATATAGAAAGATTCAGTATCAGGAAAATGACACCTCTATCAAAGGCAATCTACAAGTTCTAGGAAATCCCAATATGGATACCAAGTCTGTTCTTCAATGAGATAGAAAGGCAATATTCAATTTTATCTGGAATGGAAATTGGCAAATCCAGTTTTAACTGAAATTTCAAATGTTATAAAAGACTTAAATACACGTGCATTTATTTACACACAGGACATATTTTCTATGTTGTTGTTGTGTACCATAGAATCAGAATCAACTCATAGCTGACTTTCTGGCGGGTTTTGAGAGACAGTAAATGACACAGGAGATGATTGCCTATCCTATCAAAAATATGCATTATGATGAATATGCATATCATACATGTATCATTATTTCTAAAACCTGAAAAAGAAGTAATTTAAATACTCATTTGAGTAAACACTATCATTAATTAGATTTTGGCCATACTGTTCATATCAAAGTGAATCAGTATAACTAGTTATTTGTAAAAATGTGACAGCTTTTTATATTATGAGAGGCAAAGATCACTAGGTCATTTTCTTAAGTGAAATATTAATTTTCAGAATTGACTGTATATTCAATTGGCTATAAACTTAAAAGATATTAAGAGGAACTTTCTTCTAAATTCATTGTTATACCTTCAAGGCTTAAAGTGACAATTTTTATTTATTCTCAGAGCAACTAGAGGACATGAAAAAGAACTCAGTCACTGATATTAAATTCACCTCACAGAGATTCCTTGTAGAACAGAGATTCCCTATAACACTTGTGGGATTTAGATCTTTAGAAAAGTTGATCATTACATCTTTGGCGAATGTCTGATGAATTCACACCCATGACTTCCTATCTGAAATCTGGAGGGAAAAACCTAGGAGATTTTTTTTTGTTCATATATAGTCTTCTTTCTTTATTTTTAAATTTATTTACAAAGTTTGTATCTTACTTTTTCTTGGGAAAATAGAATTTTTTAAAAAGTAGTATTTACCCCTCCTAAAAATTATCCTGAATTTTATCTTAAACACAAAAATGTCCAAGTAAAAAAATTACTGAATCCTTATGCTTTTTCTAAACTCTCTTTTTTTTTCTTTCTTCACAGCATCTACACATTTCCTTACTCGTTTCATTGCTGTAGCTATGGGGATCCGATTCATTGTCATGGTGATGATATGGAGTATCATATTTATAAACTGTAAGTGATAGCTGAAAAATAGATAGATGTTGTTCTATTGATTTAAAAGTTGTAATAAATAAAATAACTTTTCATAATCCTCAGAGGCACAGAATCATAAACTAGCATTTGAATATATATTCTTGCTATATTTTTTGGTTATTATTAAACTTTTGAGTTATCTTTGTTTAGAATAACACATTTTTTAAAATTATCATCATTTTAACAGCATTATTCAACCATGAATCTCCTATTTCTTCAAAAGGTAAGTTGATTTTTTAAAAT